TTCAGCACCCAGATCGTGTGTGATGGAGACCGTGTGTGACAGTGGAGAGTTCAGCAGAAACTCCCAACATCTACAGTTTGTTCTTCAGAAAACAATCAACAGAGAAAACTCTACAGACAGCAGATGTAGAACAAGAAGAAGAAGACTCGAATTCTGAACAAACCACAGCCAGTTGTTGCAACTAATGGACAGCCAGATGACCACTTTGTCATGCGCTTGGGTCGTGTAATTAGAAAGCCAATACAATTCAGAGACACTTAACAGACTGATACATACTGAACATCAAAGATAGTGCAATAGTGTAAATATTGTATATGTTAGGAATGTAGAACTTAAAGGGGGAGATGTAATGGGATGCTCATCTGTATTATATTGCTCAGCCACTAGGGAGCACTGTGTGTAAAATACTTTATTTAAACAAACTCCAGCCATACCTAGCAGAGCTTTGAAGTATCTTATGATGAACACATCTGGTGTGCATAAGCAAGCTCTGTAGCCTCTCTACATCTGGTACAGGAGCATGTCATAGCAGGCTAAGGAGACAATGAAGAAACTGCTGTGCAGTTATGCCAGGTTAAAGGGAGAGAGATCCCAGCACTGAAATGGGAATGATGGGATTGCTGGGGAGGGGAACTGATGGGGCCCCTCAAGGGCCTGGTGATGATAGAAATGGGAACGTTACTGTAATGAGGAGGAGGTGTGTGGCGTGAGGGCTGCTGGCTTGCCGGGGTGGGGATGGGGTTGTGTTGTCTCTTGCCCCTTTGTCCTGTGCTGAGAAGGGAGGCAGGTGGTGGGTCTCGCAGAGGGAGAAGCACACGCTCGGCTCACTTCTGGGGAGACTTGACATTGGTTCTTTCTTTGTTTGCAGGTGTCCTGTCATCTGATGTCAAAGCTTCTCAGGGTGAGAGAGCTGGCACGGCTCCCTGTGTGCGCAGCATGGGGGAAGATCCTGACACTAGCTGAGCTCAGGTATGTCCCTGCACAGGGAATGAGCAAAAGGCGAGGCTGGATTCTCCTCCCTGGGGTCTGAAGCTGGGATGGGGCTGTTGACTGTTATAACAGATGTGCCTAAGGGCAAATAGTCCCAACTCTGCCCGCCCTGCCCTGCTGTGATGGCTCCCTGTGCTGTCCAGTGCACAATGGGCTGGGGGTTCTGGTCCTCTCTGGGCTCTCACTACAGGGGAGTGGGGATATAAACCAGCAACTGGGGGATGGGGCCTCATCTCTCTGGCTGTCAGCAGTTATTTCCCGCCTGTCCCCACAACTTCCATGTCTCCAGTAGGAAGGACTGGGTTCTTCCCTCTTTCATAAGAACATAAGAATGGTCATACTGGGTCAGACCAAAGGTCCATCTAGCCCAGTATCCTGACTTCCGACAGTGGACAGTACCAGGTGCCCCAGAGGGAATGAACAGAACAGGTAATCATCAAGTGATCCACCTCCTGTTGCCCATTCCCAGCTTTTGGCAAATAGAGGCTAGGGACACGATCCCTGGCCATCCTGGCTAATAGCCATTGATGGACCTATTCTCCATGAATTTATCTAGTTCTTTTTTGAACCCTGTTATAGTCTTGGCCTTCACAACATCCTCTGACAAAGGGTTCCACAGGTTGACTGTGAGTTGTGTAAAGAAATACTTCCTTTTGTTTGTTTTAAATCTGCTGCCTATTAATTTCATTTGGTGACCCCTAGTTCTTGTGTTATTAGAAGGAGTAAATAACACTTCATTATTTACTTTTTCCACACCAGTCATGAATTTATAGGCCGCTATCATATCCCCCCTTAGTCATCTCTTTTCCAAGCTGAAAAGTCACAGTTTTATTAATCTCTCCCCAAATGGAAGCTGTTGCATACCCCTAATAATTTTTGTTGCCCTTTTCTGTACGTTTTCCAATTCCAATATATCTTTTTTGAGATGGGGCGACCACATCTGCACGCAATATTCAAGATGTGGGCATACCATGGATTTATATAGAGGCAAGATGATATTTTCTATCTGATTATCCCTTTCCTAATGATTCCCAACATTCTGTTTGCTTTTTTGACTGCCACTGCACATTGAATGAATGTTTTCAGAGAACTATCCACAATGACTCCAAGATCTCTTTTTTGAGTGGTAACAACTAATTTAGACCCCATCATTTTATATGTATAATTGGGATTATGATTTCCCATGTGCATTACTTTGCATTTATCAACATTGAATTTCATCTGCCATTTTGTTGCTCAGTCCCCCACTTTTGTGAGATCCTTTTGTAACTCTTCGCATTCTGTACTGGACTTAACTATCTTGAGCAGTTTTGTATTGTCTGCAGATTTTGCCACCTCACTGTTTACCCCCTTTTCCAGATCAGTTATGAATATGTTGAATGCTACTGGTCCCAGTACAGACCCCTGGGAGACACCACTATTTACCTCTCTCCATTCTGAAAACTGACCATTTATTCCTACCCTTTGTTTCCTATCTTTTAACCAGTTACTGATCCATAAGAGGACCTTCCCTCTTATCGCATGACAGCTTACTTTGCTTAAGAACCTATGGTGAGGGACCTTGTCAAATGCTTTTTGAAAATCTAAGTACACTATATCCATTGGATCCCCCTTGGTCACATACTTGTTGACCCCCTCAAACAATTTTAGTAGATTGGTGAGGCATGATATCCCTTTACAAAAACCATGTTGACTCTTCCCTAGCAAATCGTGTTCATTTATGTGTCTGATAATTCTGTTCTTTACTATAGATTCAACCAGTTTGCCCAGTACTGAAGTTAAGCTTACTGGCCTGTAATTGCCAGGATTGCCTCTGGAGCCTTTTTAAAAAATTGGTGTCACATTAGCTATCCTCCTCTCATCTGTTACAGAAGCTGATTTAAATGACAGGTTATATACCACAATTAGTAGTTCTGCAATTTCACATTTGAGTTCCTTCAGAACTCTTGGGTGAATACCATCTGGTCCTGGTGACTTACTACTGTTTATTTTATCAATTTGTTCCAAAACCTCCTTTAATGACACCTCTCTCTGGGACAGTTCCTCAGATTTGTCACCTAAAAAGAATGGCTCAGGTTTGGGAATCTCCCTCACATCCTCAGCTGTGAAGACCGATGCGAAGAATTCATTTAGTTTCTCCGCAATGGCCTTTTTGTCCTTGAGTGCTCCTTTACCATCTTGTTTGTCCAGTGGCCTCACTGGTTGTTTAGCAGGCTTACTGCTTCTGATGTACTTAAACATTTTTTTATTACTTTTTGAGTCTGACTAGCTGTTCTTCAAATTCTTTTTTGGCCTTCCTAATTATATTTTTACAGTTCATTTGCCAGAGTTTATGCTCCTTTCTATTTTCCTCACTAGGATTTAACTTCCGCTTTTTAAAGGATGCCTTTTTGCCTCCTACTGCTTCTTTTACTTTGTTGTTTAGCCACGGTGGGACTTTTTTGGTCCTCTCACTATGTTTTTTAATTTGGGGTATACATTTAAGTTGAGCCTCTATTATGGTGTCTTTAAAAAGTTTCCATGGAGCTTGCAGGGATTTCACTTTTGGCACTGTACCTTTTAATCTATTTAACTAACTTCCTCATTTTTGTGTAGTTCCCCTTTCTGAAATTAAATGCTACTGTGGTTGATTGCTGTGGTATTCTCCCCCACCCCCTGGATGTTAAATTTAATTATACTGTGGTCACTGTTACCAAGCGGTTCAGCTATATTCCCCTCTTGGACCAGATCCTGTGTCCCATTTAGGACTAAATCAAGACTTGCCTCTCCTCTTGTGGGTTCCAGGACTAGCTGCTCCAAGAAGCTGTCATTTAAGGTGTCAAGAAACTTTATCGCTGCATCCCGTCCTGAGCTGCCAATCTGGGGATAGTTGATATCCCCCATTATTATTGAGTTTTTTTCTTTTTTATAGCCTCTCAAATCTCCAAGAGCATTTCACAGTCATTGTCACAATCCTGGTCAGGTGGTCGGTAGTATATCCCCACTGCTATATTCTTATTATTCAAGCATGGAATTACTATCCATAGAGATTTTATGGTACAGTTTGGTTCATTTAAGATTTTTACTTCATTTGACTCTATGCTCTCTTTCACATATAGTGCCATTCCCTCACCAGCATGACGTGTTATGTCCTTCCGATATATTTTGTACCCTGGTACTACTGTGTCCCACTGATTTACTCATTCCACCAAGTTTCTGTGATTCCTATTATATCAATATCTTTATTTAATACAAGGCACTCAAGTTCACCTATCTTATTATTTAGACTTCTAGCATTTGTATATAAGTACTTAAAATAGTATCACTTTTTAGCTGTCTGCCATTATGTGATGTAATTGAATGGGACTCTTTTTCATTTGACTGTTTCTCATCAGATCCTTCCCTGCCCTGACACCCACCCTCAGAGGGGGTCAGACAAATGGACCCTCCCTGTCTGATTATGAGCTTTGAAGCTATGCTGCCCCCAGCTGCCTCTCAGCCCCCTTCGCCTGTGGGGTCCTTGCTGGTGTAGGGCTGATGCCTGGCATGCTCCAAGCCCGCAGTCCCAGCAAATAGGACTTTCACCCCTGATCCTCCTGCAGCCCAGTGTGCTCCAAGATCACATCTTCTGTCATGGGCTCCGTGGATGGAGAGGGCCTGGAGACATCAGCCCCAGGAGAGAGAGGGCCGGAGCAACAGTCACAGTATCCCAGGTGCTTTGCTGCCCGTTCTGCTGTGACTGCGCTCTGGGACACTGGCTGCTACTGGGACTCTGGGTCTGTCTTGCGCTAGAAAGTTGATTCTACTGCAAAGGAGAAGCTGACCTCATTGCTGCCTAGTGACCGATGATATGGCCCAGTCCTGAGGCTGGCTGCGGCATTGGCTGAGGGCCACCCAATCCCCTGGGTATTAGGCAACTTTCTGAGTTTTTGTGGTCAGGACTTTGCAGAGAACTTCCACTTTCGAGAGCTGGAGTGAGACATTATTGTTAGCTTTGTTCTCCCCATCAACTTCCACCCTCTTGAGCAGCAATGGCCCCCGGGGGGATCCCTGGGGTCGCCAGGAACTGCTGGGCTGGGGCTCTAATAGTGGCGATAGCACTGAGAACTCACAGAGCTCATTGCACAGACCCTCCAGGTAAGCAGAGACCCCAGTGCTGGGGGGAAAAAGCCCTTTTGGGCTCTCAGGATGGGGAACACAAAAGCTTTCCCCCTGCCCAGCTCAGGGCTCAGAGATTCTCTTACAGGATCAACACAAGGGACTAGCAGATGGAGGTGGGGGGGGTGGTGGTGCAAGGATGGGGAAAGGCTGCAGCAGACGTGGGTGGAGGTGGGTTCCTGACCTGCTCCTCTCTCCTCTCAGAGCATTTCCTGCTGCAGGAGAAGTCTGAGTGTCACTACACCAACGGCATGCAGCGGGTGAGGTATCTGAAAAGACTGATCTGGGGCCAGCAGGAGATCTGTTACTATGACAGTGACTTGGGCTTCTCGGTGGCCCGCACGGAACTGGGTCGGCCGATCGCGGAGTATTGGAACAGGCTGGAGTGGCTGAGCTACTTGTGGGCTTCAGTGGAGAAGTTCTGCAGTTATAACCATAGGAGATTTAAGAACATCACTGTGGGTAGGCGAGGTGAGCTGAATGGGGAGGAGACCAAATTGGAACTGGGAACTTTGGGTCAGCCCCCCCATCTGGTGGTGTTATATTTGCCTCTCTCTGCACACTCCCTACCAGGCAGCAATTGAGCGTCAGTGGGGCTGGGTTTGAACTTGCGGAGGCAGAGGGGGAGTCGGAGGACGGGACTGGAGAAGACAGAATCTTTAATAACAAAGGGTTGCTCTCAGCTTGAATCAGGCCCCAAATCCCAGTTTTGAGGGAAATTCTCCCGAAACCTGATACTGAAGGAAATAATTTGGATGAGCCCCACAGACAAGCCAGGATCCTAGAGCTCCACACATGGTCCTCCCCATCCTGCCAGCCCCCTCTGGCAGTGGGCACCCCATGGGACTGGGACTAAGGGCAGCGGGTGAAACCCTCCCACCCGTCCCCTACCAAAGCTCTCTGCAGGAGGCACTGAGGTACCATGGGGATCCCTCACCTGGGAGATGGTGATGAGGGTGGGACTAGTGTGGCTGGAAGGGGTGTCATGCAGAGTACAGTCATGGCTGTGCATTGCAGGATCAGGGCTGCTGAAGGAGATGCAGACAGGTGGGTTTCAAGGAGAAATCCAGATGGTGTAGACTTGAGCTGCCCCCCTTTGGTCCCATTCCCACCCATGTCCCAGCAAGGAGCAATTTCTGATAGGACAGAGCAGGAGAAGGTGTGTGTTCTGTGTCTGGGCCCCTTTGCCAAGGTGTCTCTCTCTCACACACACAGTTAAGCCCAGAGTGAAAATTTCCACCCTGAAAGCAGAGTCTTCCCACCGCCCCAGCTTGCTGGTTTGCTCTGCAACAGGGTTTTATCCTTCCGAGATAGCGACCAAGTGGTTCAAAAATGGGCAGGAGGAGACAGCCGGAGTTGTATCCAGGGAGCTGCTACATAATGGAGACTGGACCTTCCAGATCCAGGTGACGCTGGAAACAAAACCCAGGTGGGGAGATGTCTACACATGCCAAGTGGAGCACATCAGCCTGCAAACGCCCATCACCATGCAATGGGGTAAGAGACTGACATTGGGGCAACCCCGGAGGATGCCTTGGGGTCACTCCTAGCTCTATGGAGACGACCAGAGGCTGGCCATGAAGCAGACTGGGATGGGATGCGTGCCCCATATGTGCTGTGAGAGGGTTAATATGGGCCCGAGAGGCCAATTAACCCACCTGCTTGTACCTGTTCAGGTAGGCCAGGCCTAATTGGAGATAAAGCCCAGCTGGGTTCTCCTTCCCCTCTTCCTCCCCCTCCATAAAGAGCTGGGTGAGTCCAGTTGAGAGAGGCTGGGCTGGGCTCACTCTGGGGAGCAGCCTGAAAGAAGGCTGAGCAGAGCAGGTGAACTGGAAGCAGGGACACTGCTGGGCTGCAGCCTGCCTGAACCCCTGAGCAGGGGTGCTGGACCCAGGGGCGCTGTGGGAGCAGCAGTACCCCTGACTTGAAGTGGTTTCCATCATGTACAGGGGTTACAGTTTGGTTCAATGGTTTTCAGCACCCCCACTATAAAAATTGTTCCAGCGCCACTGCCCCTGAGTGAGGGGAGGAGTGTGCCAGCCCCTGGAGACGGGGGTTGTTGGAGGCATAGGAACCTGGGGTGTGGCATGGGGAAAAGACTGTAGCATGGCATGCCTGGGAGGGAGAGGTGGCGTGCTGAGCCCAGCTAGGATAAAAGTTTGGTTATTTCCATGTTTGTTAGACTTTGGTAAAAGACACTGAGGCCCCGGAAGGGACTGGACTCTGTATAATGGTCTGGCTGGAGGGCCATGTCACTCCTACAGCTGGAGAAGGCCAAAGGAAGGTGGGGGAAATGGAGGCAACAGGTGCTGTAGTGTAACAGCCATCCAGAATGGGGCACAGTGCCCCACATACCCTTCAGTAAGACAACAAAGATACTGTAAGGGAAATCAGAGTCCAGGCTGAGCCCTAATCCTCTGTGCTCCTCTTTCGACAGTGGCACAGCCTGACTCTGGCAAAAGCAAGATGTTCATTGGAATTGGGGGCTTCGTACTGGGGTTGAGCTTCATGGTGCTGGGACTCCTCGTCTACCAGAAGAATAAGAAAGGTGAGTTGCAGGTGAATGAAGGAGGTGAAATGTGTCCCCGGTAAGATGGCCTGATAGTCTTTAGGATTTCACTATAATTTAGATTTAACAAGACAGTTAACTTGAATTTCAAGGACATTTTGGATTTTTAGGGCCTAGGCAGGGCCAGCTCCAGGCACCAGCGAAGGAAGCAGGTGCTTGGGGCGGCCAATACAAAGGGGCGGCACTCCGTCCGGTATCGGGGCAGCACCTCCGGGTCTTCGGTGGTAATTCGGCGGCGGGTCCCTCAGTCCCTCTCTCCCTCTTTGAGCTGCTGCCGAAGAGGAAGAGAGGGAGTGAAGGACCTGCTGCCGAAGAATGAAGCGGCGTGATTGAGCTGCCGCCGACCGCCCCCTTTTCCCCCGCCCCCCCCGCTTGGGGTGGCAGAAAAGCTAGAGCCGGCCCTTGGCCTATGCCAACACCTATTAAAGTCAATGTCAGTTTTAAATGACTTCTACAGACATTGGATTGGGCCTTCAGTGACTAGAGACCTTTCCAGGAACCATTTGGGCCATCCTTGGGCCTTGAAAGATCAGCCTCTGACCTGGTATAGCTCTGAAACGGACCATCTGAATTCTGGACTATGTTGGTGGTTACTTATGGCAAATTCTCCACTTCTGCTCCACAGACTCTTGCAACATCAGTTTGTTGCAGACTGTTTGTAGACTCTGGATATGGATAAATTCATATTTATGTACAAAAGAATTAAGTAACCTCCTTTAAAATCAAAAGAAACCAAACCCAGCCAAGAAACCTATGAACTCTTGACCCCAAAGTTTTGGTTGGTTGTTCCTCTTGCCAACTTCTCTCTCATCTCAGTACACTAACATAAATTTAAGTTCTTTCACTTAAAATGAACTAGAACGACCGGTTTAAAATCCTGGTGGTAGAGTCTCTGTCACACAAGCACTCGCAAGCTTTCTCCAGCCTAAGCCTGTCCAATGACTCTCTCTTTTCTTAAACAAGCAAACTTAGCAGGTTCTTCATTCTTGGTCTTTTTCTCTTAAGAACGGGGGTCCTCGGCCAGCGGTTGTGACCACCAAGTGTCGGGGTGTTATGACTAGAGCTGGTTGGTTGTTTTTGGATGAAACAGTTTCATTGACAGATGCTGATTCGCTGGACCAAAATGTTTTGTCATACCTATTATAGAGTCTGTGAATTTTTTCTCGAAACACGGGCAGGTTTAAATTGGAAACTTACAGAGGTTCTAGGGTCCACAGCCCTGACAGGGAGCCCCCAGACACCCAGCTGGAGACTGGCAGGTTCCCTGCAACACAGCAGCCAGCCTGCAAGTGCCCAGCTGGAGCCAGGATTCTGGGGGATGACTGGCTCTCCGCACCGCAGCAACAGCAGCAGCCACCCGGGGAGCCCCATCTGCAGACAGGATTCTTGCCACTGTTGGGCTCCCAGCTCCAGGGCAGGGAGGCTACCAGCAATGAAATTGGCATTCTTGTCAGTTTCATGGCTGTTATTTCACATTTTTGTCTCAGAAATACCATATTTTGCTGTTTTGTAATGAAATTTTCAGGGATCTCCAATTCCAGTAAATTTCAGTAAATTTGCTTTCCTTCCAGATCAGAATGAAATTTACTTTGCAAATATTCAAATCCCTGAATTTCAGCCAGCTCTAGTTATGACCTCCCTGCCTGTCCCAAATTGTTTACTGGGAGGGTGTCCTTGCTAGATGGGACCAGGACCTGTGGGTTGAGTCCCAGTATGGAGAAGGTTGAGAACCACTGCCTTAGAAAAATAGTTCCCAAACACCAGTTTCTCCTTAAATTAAGAGGAATAGAGGAGCAGGGACTGGAGACTTGACCCTGCTGGAAGCAGCTCTCCAGCCTGCCTAAGGCTCTGAGCACATTTCTTTTGGTTTTTCAAGTCTTCAAATTACCCAAACTCAAGGTAACATCAGTCTTCACTCTGCAACCCGTTAAATCCTCTCTTCCCCGTCAGAGCCCTCTGGATAGGGTGACCAGATGTCCTGATTTTATAGGGACAATCCCGATATTCGGGGCTTTGTCTTATATAGGCCTTATATTTGACCATTACCCCCCACCCCCGTCCCGATTTTTCGCACTTGCTATCTGGTCACCCTACTTCTGGATGAATGTGCTTTAGGGATGGAAAGAGGAGCAGAGAGGATGTTGGTTGAATTGGTATCACTTCAGCTGCCCTTATTTGGGCCCCTCTATTGTCTCCTCTTATCTCCAGATCCTTTATACACTCAGACTATAATGCCATGTCTACACTACAAAATTATGTTGACCTAACTTATGTTGGCATACAGCCACCACAGTTATGAAATCGCTTGTGCGTGTGCACAGTTGGATCCTTGTGCTGGTGGTGCACGTCCTCACCAGGAGCGCTTGTATCGATTGTATTGTCAGTGGGGGGGATTGTGGGACAGCTCCTGGAGGCCAGTAACAGTCAATGTAAGCAGCACATTGTCTACACTGACATGGACCGCGACTATGCCGCTTGGGGAGCTGGGTGTTACTAAATCGGTGTAGAGTGGCCCTTATGTCAGCGGGAGCCAAATTTAAGTGAAGATTCTTCCACAGCTAGGTCGACACAAGGCCGCTTACATCGACCTAACCATGCAGTGTAGAACAGGCCAAACAATATTGCGAGGCTGGAGGTGGCGTGAGAATCAGGAGGATTTTGCTCCCTCCATTCAGGGTGAAGTGGGAGCCTCCCCCAGCAGCAGAATGTCCTGATTCCTGCTAGAGTATTTCCTATCCCTGAAGCTGCCAGGTAAAGTCACTGGGGAATGCCCTGGAGCCTGCAAGAGAAAATTCCCACTTGTCCCCCAGTGGTTATTTCTCTCTTTCCCCACAGGGTACCCGTGCTTGGACACTGCAGAATCTCAGGCTGCTGGGAGTGACAGGGGCAGCTCTACAAACTTACTGCTCTGTGCCTAAATCCTTCCAAGTTCTGTGAAGGGCCATCTCTAAATCTTCCCTTAACCCTCTGTATTCATGCATGAGCCATTACTCTTTCCTTTCCCCTCGCTAGCTGTTTTTTGTGGGCTCTTGCTCAGGTCACTACTGTGCTGCCTCTGATGGAGGGAATCACCACTTTCCCTCAATCGTAGCAGGTTTCCCTCCTGCCAACTTTTCCTGCCACCCCGCCCCAGATTTAACTGCTCTGCAATTAAAGAACCAAAGTGCTTGTAGATCTGAGATTGTCCTTCAGGGGCTGATTTCATGCAAGCTGTTGACTTGGGGAATCTCCAGTGGAAGAGGAGGGAAGGATCCAGCTTTCATATGGAGCTGAGGATGGATGTCCCGCAACTCAGAGTGCAGCATGTACCCAGATAGAAAAGAGGGGAATAAATAATAATGTTTCTAACTAATGCTTTGCACTTAGAGAAATTTTATCTAAGGGTCTGAAAGGATTTGACAACTGTGAGTTAATTAAAAGTACTAATTAACCTGGTGTTAATCTTTAATTTCATGTGTTTGGTAACTTTCTGAAACAGATCTGTGATTCTGTATATCATGACACTCCACCCTTTGGCTAATGGAGATTGTACTGTACTCAGCTGATGAGCAGAACATGAAAACCTATGTAGAACAGCAAATTAAAGAGATAAAGCCTTCCCCAGATAACTAACAACCCATGAGATTATAAACATGGAGAGAATGTTTACACTCTAATTTGCCTTTCACTGTCATTGCTGGTTTGTTCTTGCTGCTGCTTTTACTCCTGGCAACGGCCTCAGTCAGCTTAGACACTGAAGCTAGGCTGCTCAGACTCAGTTCCTGTCTCTAACTAGGTTCACTGTTTCCATTACTTGCATCTGAAGAAGTGAGGTTCTTACCCATGAAAGCTTATGCTCTCAATACTTCTGTTAGTCTTAAAGGTGCCACAGGACCCTCTGTTGCTTTTTACAGATTCAGACTAACATGGCTACCCCTCTGATAGGTTCACTGTGTGGTTCTCATGCACTAATCTGCTGCTGTTGTACTTATCTTAGGGTTTTATCCTGACACCCATCATAGATTTCATAGAATTTAATGCCAAAAAGGACCATTAGCTCTTCCAATATGATCTCCTGTATAAATTTTATATATAGCCCCCTATATTGAGCTCAAAGACTTTAGTTGGACCTAAGCATTTCAGTCCTCAGGAGAATAAACTGTTTTATGCCATTGGGAAAAAACAGGAGAGACACCGGTGCCAAACTCACAGTGATAAACCAAAACCTGGATTTCAGACCTCAGTGACTTGGCGGTGTCCTAGAAATGAACCAACACAAGATAAAACCCAATGACGCTTTGAAAAGTAGCATCCCCAAGGTTAAACCTACGAGGAGTCCGGTGGCACCTTAAAAACAAACAGATTTATTAGGGCATAAGCTTTCGTGGGTAAAAAACCCACTTTTTCAGATGCATGGAGTGAAAATTACAGAAACAGGCATAAATATATATTGGCACATGAAGAGAAGGGCGATTGACAGAGCGAGATGGGTACCCAGAAGTCACCTACTACAGGACAGGCCCCAAAAGGAAAATAACAGAACATCACTGGCTATCACAGACAGCCCCCAGCTAAAACCTCTCCAGCACATCATCAACGATCTACAACCTATCCTGGAAAACAATCCCCCTCTCACAGACCTTGGGAGGCAGGCCAGTCCTCGCTTACAGACAGACCCCCAACCTGAAGCAAATACTCACCAGCAACTATACACCACACCACACAGAAACACTAACCCAGGAACCAATCCCTGTAACAAAACCCGTTGCCTTCTCTGTCCCCATATCCACTCTAGCGACACCATCATAGGACCCCATCACATCAGCCACACCATCAGAGGCTCATTCAGCTGCGCATCCACTAATGTGATATATGCCATCATGTGCCAGCAATGCCCCTCTGCCATGTACAATGGCCAAACCGGACTGTCTCTACGTAAAAGGATAAATGGACACAAATCAGACATCAGGAATGGTAACATACAAAAGCCAGTAGGAGAACACTTCAATCTCCCTGGCCATTCAATAACAGATTTGAAAGTAGCCATACTTGAACAACAACAAAAACCTTCAAAAACAGACTTCAAAGAGAAACTGCTGAACCACAATTCATTTGCAAACTTAACACCATCAATTTGGGCTTGAATGGGACTGGGAGTGGCTGGCTCAATACAAAAGCAATTTTCCTTCTCTTGGTATTGACACCTCCTCATCAATTATTGGGAGTGGACCATATCCACCCTGACTGAACTGTGGCCTTGTCACCACTGGTTCTCCACTTGTAAGGTAACTCCCTTCTCTTCATGTGCCAGTATATCTATGCCTGTATCTGTAATTTTCACTCCATGCGTCTGAAGAAGTGGGTTTTTTACCCAAAAAAGTATATGCCCTAATAATTCTGTTAGTCTTTAAGGTGCCACTGGACTCCTTGTTGTTTTTGTGGATACAGACTAACATGGCTATCCCTCTGATACAAGGTTAAAACTAGTGTAGAGTGGAATGGATAGGTGACATAGTCATGGTAGGACCCCTGATCACATGTAGGGCCTAAATTGTTGTATGGCACTTAGGGACTAATCCTGCAAAACTTTCCTGGTGGGCAGGCTACTTAGCATGAGTAGATCCATTGAAGTCAAGTTAATGGGACTACTTGTTGCAAGACTGGGCCCTTAGATCTGCCACCGTAATAAGTAGTCTTTAAGTGCTGATGGGCAGAAACGAACTGGTATTTTGCACAGTTCATTAGATTACCCAGTGAAACAAGCTGCTGTGGGAGATGGTGAGATCACCTTAACTGGAAATATTAAAGGGACAACTGGGCATTCATCAACCTGGGATACCTAGGGATAATTAATCCATCCTACCATGATGCACGCAGTCGCAGAGGGAGCAGATGACCCACCAGACGTCTTTCAAAATGAACAAGTAGATGAAATCTTCAATCCCCCAGGGTCTCTTTGTACAGCCCCACACAGCCAGTGGAGAAAATTGGTAACTATATCCAGCAAGCCTGTTTCTAATTAACAAATAATTATCTACAAATTGCTGTAATTATTGCTTTGGATTCCAGAGAAGAGAGCCGTGACAAGATGAGCATAGTTTCCTTACGAGTGAAATATTTTCCTTGTCTTATCTTGAGTGCCCCGCTGCTGCGAGGCTTGGGGACTTTGCTTAGTTTTCCTTTTGAGAAGTGTGATAAAATTACTCTTGCTGCCTGGCAAGGGAAGTATTGTTTAAAAGGCATGCAAGGGAGTTTCTTGCTCTCTGAATTTCTCTTATCTGCTGCTTTAATTCTGGACAGTTTTTTGGGGGTGCCATAAAAATAAAATCTGTACATTAAATATCACTGTGCTAAGCATCATCTAAGTACATAGACCATATAAATAAATGGGCAAAATGAACCACCAGGGACTGAGCTGTACAATGAGGAATAAAATCTAGTGCTTGAAAGGAGGGGCCAAAATCTTTCTTCCCACTATTGCTAAACTGGAAGGACAGGAAAGTTGAATTCATTCTTTGTATTGCAGCAGTGCCTGCAAGCCCCAGTCACGGACTAGGACCCCATTGTGTTAGGTGCTGTACAAACACAGAACAAAAAGATGATCTGCTGGGTGGTTGCCATCACTTTTTTGGTGTGTGTGGGGGGGCGGTGGGAGAGGGGGGAGTCAAATCACTTTCTCCTCCGGTCCGAGCACTGCCAAAATCTAGGGCTAGTTGGACCCCTCAGTTTATTTCTTATTACAAACAGGGGGCTTGTAACAGGGGGCTTTTAAGAGCCAGAGACATGGGGCCAGCCAGCACACTTCACTAGTGAATGCAGCTGAGAAGGGGACAGGTGTTCTCTATAAAGAGCTGCAGGAGTTGGGGGCCAGAAGCCATCTAGGCTGCTGTGGGTGGTAGCCTCTCTCTCAGGCCAGGCCTAGAGATTGTGGTGCCCTATGCAGCCCCCCTGTGGGGGGGGGGGCAGCCCTGGGCCTCTGAGGGGGGGCTGTGCCCAAGTGCTTTGGGAGGCAGGAGTAGCCAGTGCAGGAAGGCAGCAGGGGTCAGGCCCACCCCCGCACTCACGGGGCAGCGGGAAGTGGAGCGACCCGGCCCCAGCCTGCTTCGCTCTACTCCCCCGGCTCCCAGGCTTGGGGGAAGGTGGGGAACTGCTCCCCAGCACTCACCGGCGGCATGGCTGGGAGCCGGCGTAGCGGGCTGGGGCCGGGTCACTCCACTTCCCACCACCCAGTGAAGGCAGGGCAGACCCGACCCCGACCCCTGCTGCAGTCCCCCAGGACGCATAGCTCAGCGGACGGGGGTTTGGGGGGAAGGGGTGGAGTGGGGGCGGGGCTGGGGCAGAGCAGAGGTGGAAAGAGGTGGGGCAGAGCAGGGGCGGGGGCAGCTTTCCTGGGCCCTGCTATGCACAGCCCACGAGGGGCTGGCTCAGCCGTCCGGGGGATTGGGCTGGCCGCTGGAGCTGGATGCAGCACGCAGCTGCGTAGGGCACCAGGAAATTTGGGGCAATTTGTTGCCCCAAATTTCCTGGTGCCCTAGACAGCTGCGTAGTTTGCGTATGGGTAGGGATGGCCCTGTCTCAGGCAGGGCCGGCTGTGGCTTTTTGGCAACCCAAGAAAAAAAAAAAAAAAACGGGGCGGCCAGAACGGAAAAAGAAAACAAAAAACCTGCGGCGCGGCCGGAGCGTGGGTCCAGGGGGACCGGCTTGGGGAGGGAGCGGGCGGGAGAGAGAGAGAAGGGGGCGGCCAGGGCTACAGCAGGGGCGCTGTCACGCGGCCCCTCCCGCTGCGCTGCCACCTGCCGCGAAGGCTCCGCTCCGGTCGGTGGGGAGGGAAGGAACAGGACTGCCCTGCAGGGTGCTCTGGTTCTCCGCGCCGCCGCCCCCTACAGGGTGGCCGGAGCGGAACAAGAAGAAGAACAACAACAAAAAAGCGGCCGTGCCGCCCTAGGATTGGGCAGAATGCCGCCTCCAACAATCTGCCGCTCCAAGCACCAGCTTGCTCAGCTGGTGCCTGGAGCCAGCCCTGGTCTCAGGCTCCTTCTTGGAGACCTTATTAAAGGGACAGACTTATTCTGTTCGTTTCTTTTGGGTTTCCCCCTTGTTTGGATCCTTTACAGGCCCCATTGTGTTAGGCACTGTACAAACCCACCGTAAGAGATGCTGCCTCCTCTGAAGAATTTAACTCTAAAGAGACAGGACTGGGAAAGGGGTTGCGGGAAGAGAAGACAGGAATCACCCCCATTTTATGGATCTAGAACTGAGAGACTGACTTGGCCAAGCTCACATGGGGGAGTCTGTGGCTGAGCTAGGAACCAAATCTAAATCTGAAT